CGTATTTTAGTAAACGTTCCGTTTATTTTTAAGCAGTATTTATTTCGTCTCCCTGCTGCGAACACGAGAAAACGTAATAAAGAAAAGTTTTTCGAGCATGCAGGCCGGTAGACGAAATGAATACTGTTTAGATATAAACGGAGCATCTACTCAAACACGAGCATCCGCTAAAAATAACTTTTGAAGTAATGAAAATATGTTGGATTAAAAAGAATCCATTAAATCTTTATAAATAGATCTGTATGTATGAAACCTTGCGGCATTAACAAGACAAACGAAGCTAACACGTCAGAGCGTTTCTTTCCTGTCAGTTTGTGTTATGTCGTTATCTATCACGCTTCTTAGCTGCCTGTCATCGTGTCTATCATCGTCTCCACGTCGCCCGAATTCAAGTTACATGATTCACCTCGGTCATCAGATGACTCCACCAAGGCTGTGCGTCTCAGATCAGTTAGCAATAGAGTTTTACCAGGCGACAATGTACTAGTTTTCTTGTGCCAAAGTACAAACTTCTCGGGACCATTGTGGGCGCAGAAGCTGATGCTGTGGTTTCAATACTTGTACACTTACTAGTTGACGACGATGACGAAAGAAACCCACGGAATATAGCGTACGCTATACAGCACTCTCACTGATTATTTTAACAGTATCTGCTAGTCCTAGGTATGACGATAAACTACATCCAGCAGCTAACCGGGAGTTTTTGAAGAGCGTGGAACCACCTCTTGCTGTTGTTTCCAGATCCACTTTGATCCACGGTGATTCTGGAAGCAACAACAATTATTTTATCTCTAGTTGGAGGCATACAATTGCGCTCAAAATATTTAGATTTCGGCATTAATTAACCCACACAGGATGATATGCCGCTAAACAAAATCAACCAACCAACCAAAAATATAACTTCAAGAAAACTACAACATAAAACACACATGTAACCGACTCTACACAAACATGTACATGCGCCAAGGCTGAGTATCATCTACCATGTATTCAACTGTGAAAGTAAAATAGCATATATCATATTTTTTGCCACTTTTGTGATGCAAACAAATACTCGTTGTCACTTTCGTAATGCTCGTTGTAGCAAAGATTTTATAATCGCAGATACAACTATAGTAACGCCGTTGAACAATACTGGTGTCAGATGACTTCGAATAACACTCGCACTAATACTACTTGCTTGATAATACTCGCTCGAATAGTAATCCGTATAGTGATCCGAATAGAGGAATAGTATAGTGAATAGAGTAGATAATAGCGGTTCGTTTTGTAATAGAGGATAGAGTAGAAGTGATGATTAATCTAGACGTCACGCAACTTCCTATATATGCGTTTCTTCTATGGTCACGTTATCTACTTAATTCAATAATGAGATCGCCTGTGTTTGCTCACTGGCGATCTATGTTCAAACTCAAATGCCGGCAGCGACACTTTATTCCTGTATAACATATATTTTTATTACTTCAAAGCTTCCTAGAAAATTAAATTTCGTCATGAGATGATAAGGAGTTGATATGCCGTTTAACAAACACAAAGCTGTATCTGCGTTGAATTCGGGTGTGATTTAATGCAATATTTTCCTTCGTTGTGTGATCGCCATCTTTGTCAATTACCGCCTGTCTTGTTATCTAATATTTAATCACATCCAGACACACTCATTCTATTTGAATTTCTGGTATGATGTTTTCATTATTTACATTGTTTGCATTTGCACTAATTACTTCATCTTTGTTGTTGCTATCACAACGTTTCGATCATTGTACCCTCTGTCCTTCTTCAGGTGTTTGTCGATCAGGGAAGTTTACGCGGTCAAGTGAGATAAGTCCATTGTACATTTATTGATTTATTGAATTTTGTAGCTCTACTTATCTAACGAACACTAAATTAAATTCTCAAAAACTAGGTTGAGTCAATTTTTTTCGTATTTCAAGTTTTAACATTGCAAATAAATTACATACAAAAAATTTATTGATGAAAATATATCCCATCATATTCCGTTGTCTGTTGCCATCGTTGTGCCAGAAGGTCAATTCCACGCTTGTACCATTTGGCTGGTTTAAAGGAAAAAAAAAAAACAACTTGCGTCTGTTTTGAAACCTATCTACATTGTTAAACCTCTGTCCTCTTCGATTGACCACTGCCGGCTAGTGGGTTTTCAAAGCATCGGATACTCGCTGCAGTTTTTGAGCATAAAGGTCAGAGTTCACAGTATGACCATCTGGTACAAGCTGAAAGTGCAACACCACCTCGAAATTCCACCAAACACAAAACATGACGGTCTGTTCAAACTGCCCTTGTTTGACAAGTTCTGTAGCCTGTCCGGAATGAAGTCACTGGTTTCTCTTATTAGAATTACAGAAATATATACATGTTTATATAACCAGTTGCAATTCGACGCCAAAAATTGCCATCTTGAGGATTTGTCAACAGTTTGCACGTCGTTGAGCCTGGTTATTGTCCTGTTTATGATGAACTTCTTTACAGAGTTTGTTCACAAGTCAAGCTTATGGAGGTGTCAATTGGTGGTGTTTTGTGAAGGACCATGTTCTGCCGACAATAAATGAGTGTTTGTGCATGGGTGTTTTCTAACCATTTCAAGCAAAGCCTCATCTTCCACAACAGAAGGACCTTGGTTTGTCTTCAAGGCTGGTGTCACCTTCATTGAAACGTCTGAACCAGCTTTGTAGCACATGTTCTTCGACATTTCCTGGGCTATCCACATCATTATTTTCCTTTACCGCTGCCCTTACACCCAGTACTTTTTACTAAAGGTAGCGTGAAATGCCACACATTGCAATTTTTTTACCAATCATTATCAAAGCTGCACTTTAAAGAATAAACACTTAATGCTTATATGCTATATATGAAAATAAGCAATAAACAATTCTACAACGATTGAAAACACAACTATACATGACCACGCGAGAGTGAAAACGAGAAGTATTAAGTATGGGAGGCCGTTGGTATAAACCAATGGCTTCTGTTATTAATTATAGGCATTTAAGAATATTCGTGGGTATTTCATAGTTTATTTTGTTCAGGTTAGGTTTCAACTGTTTTATGTAGATAGCTTCAAGAATTTTTAGTTTTTGTTTATTGTTTTCATGTTTAAGTATAGTTGTGTTTTCAACAAGGATTTTCTGGAATTGTGTACGCGGGCAAGCATGTTGTTTTTAAACGCCTAAAATTGTTATATTTAAAATGTAGAGTCAAGAGACGTGAAAGCGAGTTTGTGGTGTGACCAACATAAATATTATTTAATCCATTGGAGATACAATCTCCCAAAGGGAACTTGAATTTGTAAACTATGTTGGTTTTTTGCAAATCGCTTACGAGGAGGGGGGAAGAATCATTGCGAATAATTGAGTTGGATATACTAGATTTAGTGCAGTATATGATTAACCTAATTTTTTGCTAGGATCTGCTGTAGATATATTAGTATTTACTAATTTTTTATTACATTTTCATCTTGTTTATAATTAGTATGCATTTGACTACGATGTAAGAGATTAATATGCTTGGGATTAGTTGAAGAACAAAATAAACTACGAAATCTCCACAAATATTCTTAAATGCCTATAATTGATAACAGAAGCTATTGGTTTATACCAACGGCTTCCCATACTTAATACTTCTCGTTTTTACTCTCGCGTGGTCATGTGTGACGTCACGAGCTGAGTCGCGATTTTCGCTTCCGCGTCTCGTATACACGAGTTTGTTGTTGCTTTGAAATTTTTCATGCAACAAAAACAGATTATCATTATTGTTTCGTCCGTGTTTTGTTATTGAAATGTAATTGTCATCTTTGAGAATGGCTTATGTAAGCCGAAAGCTTAGATTGGATTTAAACATGTATCAATATAGTGATTTCCTTTCGTCTTTCAATGATAATGTTGTTAAGCTTATCAGACAATATGAAAGGAACTTACTTAAAATAAATAGACAAAACTTGTCTATATTATTTAATGAAACATGCATTAATGAAAAATTGCTGCCTAAATATACACATATATATATATATATATATATATATATATATATATATATATATATATATATATATATATATATATAATTTGGATCAAGTACAGATCGGAATCCAACAGAATGATAAGATGAAAAACAAACAGAAAACGTTTCTGTTGTAACCTAGAAAAGGTTACTGAATGAGGAATAATCAAAACGAAGGTTGGAATTGAAATGGTAATCTTTATAGCATCAACAAAATACAATACTCGCCAGCCGCGTGAAGTAGGTAAACCACTGCTAGTGGTGGACTACTTAGACAGTATATTAGGCCCGACTTACAATAGTGTCCAACGTATTTATGCGGATTGGGACATATCCATTAGTGTTCATATGTACAGTATATAACAATCTAAAATTTTACTTTTGTTTAATTCAAGCTTTAATAAAGTGAATCATGTTAGATTGATAAACGTTTCCTATTTGATCTTTATTCTATCACACACACACACACACACACACACAGACACACACACATATATATATATGTGTGTGTGTGTATATATATACATTATATATATATATATATATATATATATATATATATATATATATATATACAGCGTTTTGGGACAATGGACAATACGGACACTCCCACCAAATGAAAAAATGTAAGGATGCTTGAAAAACTAAATATAAAATTAATTAAATTTATTCAACAAAACATGTTTAAAAGACGTGTCGTTCCCAAAATATACATTAATTAATATATATATATATATATATATATATATATATATATATATATATATATATATATATATATATAATGTATGTGTGTTGATAATACAGTAAAATCCTAAACAAAAATATGCATAATTAAAAGTCTACAAAAAACGAAATTATTAATAATTTTGAAGTGATCAACTCATGTTAGTCACTACTAGAAACTTTTACATGTAATCTATCAATTAGTAAATTGTGGTCGGTTTGGTGATTGAATTGTCTGTAAATTTGCTAGTTAAGTCTATGGCTTACGGCCATATCACGTTGAAACACCGGTTTTCGTACGATCGCAGAACTTAAGTGACATCGACTGTGGTCAGTACCGAGAGGGGTGATCGCTCGTGAATACCGGGTGCTGTAAACTTGGATGTGCGATCGGCGTAATGGATAACAGTTCGGGGGAAGAAACTGGAGAGCCGAGTTCGAATTCCAGTCGAGTTCATTACATTCACTTACGAGCAAATAACCTTAGGCGATCATGAATCGAAAAGAGACATGATCACAGAAACGTGTCACATCCGTTCATATCAACACGTATTGGACCAGCTCGGTAGGGTAATCACCTATTCTTCCCCATAAATCTGTGGAAGGGCTACGTCCTATAAAAATGGTCTTCATAGACTCAGAAGAAGTGTTTCTGAACAAAGGCCTGGATTTCGGGTTTCTTCACTTCAGAGATTAACGCCGCATGATCTCCATACTCGCAAACGATTTCTACATTTGTATATGTCATGGTGCCTACCTAAACTGACAGAATGAACTCTTCCGAACGATATATATATATATATATATATATATATATATATATATATATATATATATATATATATATATATATATATATATATATATATATTACGCATATTCAAGGAGACGAACAGTATTAGAACGGATTTGGTATTTGGACGGTATTGAATCGAGTCGAGCTGATAGCAGTCACGCCAAACCAGTTGGACAGACCTACTAAACCTTTTCACTTCTTGTATTATTTCTTGTTTAATATATTCTTTGTTATTTCTACTCTTGTGTTTCGTGTTGTTCTTCCATGGTCCTAATCTTGGACCATAACAGTATACTTGCCAGATTTAGGACATCCATGTCTATCTTTGAAGATATCCAAGTCTGTTCATAACTATTTATCCGCTATCATTCAATCTATCCATTGAGGTTCCGTAATTAATTAATATGGAGTTCAATTTTCACTGACAATAACGCAAAATGTGGCCTTTTACCTGTTTACTTTCAACCTATTACCTATCTATTCTCTTTCATGCCTATTAATCTACATGCTATCAGACAGTCTGTTACGTAAATTAGAGAGAAATTTGTCTTTTGCTATAATAGCTAAGAGCTTGGTGTGGCAATGGATAGCGGCTCGGATTGATGAATCAGAGAGCCGAGTTCGAATTCCAATTGAGTCCATTACATTCACTTACCCTTTGAAAAGTAGGAATCCATCTTTTCTCCCTAACCCCCACCCAGCTGGTTAAGCAGCAGGGTAGACTGGATCCTATAGCTTTGGTTTGGCAACTAGTCTAGGAGAAGGAAAAACTCTGAATTCAATATCAGCTTGGAGAGGGTTGGACTCCGTGGTCTAACTTACACAGGAAACACCACTTCTACTGCTGCGGCAGTATATGTGATGCCTCTGCGACCCTACAGAGAAACAGGTTTAAAAAATAGCTATATAATTCAGGTTAAGGCAAGAATTTAAATACCGATTTCCAAAACAGTCAACTCCATTGGGAAGATATGACTCTCAGTGCCTTCGTATATTTGTAAAATTTCTGATCAAAGTATTATATTGACAGTATCCATTTTTATTCATTACAACACAAAGAGATGTGCGGGTGACATTCATTGCCATATAGGAAGAATTATACAACGTAACAGTTCAGTACTACTTTCTATGTTTCTATAGAAATTTTCCTGTTTCTTAATACTTTGCTTAGATTTTGGAAGCAATCTTTCGCTATCCCAATGCGCCTTCAGATTTCACTTCAGCACCTTCCGTTAGCTGTTAAAACACTTTTTAAATATTTAAATTGTTGTACTTGTTTGATTTTGGTATTTCCAATTTGTAATTTGTACATTGGGCTATTCCTTTTGCTAACGACTATGCCTTCTGTCTTTTTGCAATTGATGTTTAGTCCTTTCTTGTCGCTTTCCTTCACTCCCATCTGTTGGAGTTCTTTTGGTTTCCTTTCTGTGTCTGCTATCAACACTGTGTTATCTGCATATCTTATGTTGTTAAGATTGTGACCGCCAGTAATGTACCCTTGTAGGACTTCTAATTCTCTCAGAATCGCCTCACCGTATAGTTTGAATAAATCTGGTGAGAAGACACATCCTTGTCTTACCCGACTTCCAATTTTTATATATTTACTGAATTCATTTTCTATCCGTATGCAGGCAGTTTGCTGTCGATATATGTTCTAGATTAATCTAATATCCTTCCCAAATATGTCTAGATGGCCTAAAAGTATCAACTGGTTTTTGTAATTTATTAGTTGATGTGTTTTGTTAGGTGTTAAAGAATTTGATATATTTCTTACTATACGGGTAATTTTCGTGGGTACACGTTCCAGTTATTCTAAGCATTGAAATTAATGTCAACCGGCTTAGAAACCGAGAAATCCTTATTAACAAAAACACGTGTACCCACTCAAATCATGTTTATAGTAATAAGAAATAAGTGTGATATCAGGTGTAAGTCCAATATGTTGAAAACAGGGCTGTTTTCTTCTTCGAACCACGTGACGGTTGCACTGGCTGCTGCGTCAAAGAATGCCTAATGTTTCCTTATAAGGAAACTGTTAATATTACTATTACCACTACAATACCCTGGGGGAACGAGTGATTTCTTAAAGGGTGAATAATGAGGTTAAAACCTAGTGGTGGCAGTATGTTCCATATTTGAACGTAATCTTCAAGCTATAATTCACACTCTATCTGTGATATTGAGCACTTTTACCCATAAATATAGCATACCTTAAAATATATATATATATATATATATATATATATATATATATGAAAAGTTAAATTGCCCGAAACTTCTTGACGAGTAAACTGAACAGTTACAAAAGTTCATCTACGAAACTCTAGAGTCGAATATATATATATATATATATATATATATATATATATATATATATATATATATATATAATGTACACAATTCATAACTGTTAAACTACAGACCTATAGAACTCCCTCCGTACATATGACTGTTTGTTTTATACGTGAACGCAATCTATATAGCATAACTCAAAACTATATTTTTTTTTTACTTTATATATATATAACCTGTAGAAATTGTAGAAAAAATTTCAATAGATATCACCAAAGTCTCGATTCTGTGCAAAATTAGGCGCACACGGACATACAAATTTCTACATTAGTATTTATTAACCAATCATTGTCTTTGTCTCAAACGGAATTTAAGTTTTCAAAAAGTAGACAAGCTTTTTTATCATTTGCTACAAATTTTTTTAAAACAACCAAAAAATGATTAACAATTCTTCCCTCCTAAAAATTGAAATTAAAAATTGGGGAATATATTTATTAACCGATAAAACCTCTGAGTTTAGTAAATCTAACTTTTAACATCTTGTAATCCGATTTTTTCTTATAAATAGCATACCGAAAAACAGTTAATCTTTCAGTTTATCTTAGACCGGAGGCGGGCATATGAATAATATTGAACACTGAAAATTTCGCATACCCGAATGACCTTATTGGGCATTAAGTTCCTTCTTACAAATTAATTCTCGATTTTAATATATTTTTATAAACCAGTTTGCATATTGTAAATTACAAGGAGACATAAACAAAGCGTAATTTTAGTCGTAGTAGTACGGTTATTGTCAGGTGAATGCTGGAATTACATTACATACACATAATATAACGTAAATCGTGAATTTTTGCATTAAGAATTCGCATATACCTTTTACCCGATACTAACACAATTCATTTCTTTTGTGTTGCAAAAAGAAAAATAAAACATTTTTGTACGCACTTTGTTTGCAAGGGACTTCATAACTTTTTTTTTTCAACTTAAAAGAAAAGAGATTATTTTTATAGTCAATAAAAATTATTTAAATTTGTAGAACTATCTTTGAAGATTATTTCTTTTCTTCGCTTTTCACACACTTATATATGAATGACTGCATTGCCTGATCAGGCGAGTTTTGTTTATGTTAGATATCAAGTCCACGAGGCCTGTTAGTTGTTTTCCCTCTCGAGAGTTTAAATCTGAAGAGCTACGAGTCTACATGTTAGGGTCGTAAAAGTTCTCGTTTTGTTATTCTGTATCATGTGGACTATGTACATAGAAGTAAAGTCTTTTGGGGTCACGTACGGCTTAGCCTCCAGTTCATTCCTCGATCCAGGGTTTGGCCATTGCGTCCAGAACCAGGAATTAGGCAGCTTCGTTGACCGGTTAGGTCTTGCGTAAAGAAGTGAATCGACATGATCCTCTTTGCTCGCGACGCCCAGGACCACAGACGTGAGCGAAACGAGTGTATCACCGTGGTCATTTCTGTGAGCTTCGCTCGGAGCCAGATGTCGTTTTTTCTTGTTCACCTTCTGGTCCTGAAGAAGAATCAGACTTTGCCAGGGTTCTTAATGGTTCAACAAGCGCTTTTAATGCTAGGAAACGCCATGCTACTTCCACGGAATTGAATCACTCTCATTTCTTACTTATTCCAAAATGTATGAAGAAAATTCCACTCAGCTTTTCTCACTTGAACTACTTTTTTGTGGCGCCGACTCCCGTGTGGATGCTTCCTTGAACACTAAAATTTTAACCTCTTCAAGTCAAGGGTCAGTCATTATCTTTCTCATCCTCATAGTCTTCATTTCCTCCCACCTCCTCTTTTATTTTTACACCTAATTCATTATAAGCGTTTTATCATTAAATCTTTACTTTGAGTTGCTCTCGAGGCATGTATTAGGTGAAGTTTAGTATATTAAAAAATCAAGCGGTTCTTCCGGGTCTTGGCGAACACGAACAGATTGTGTCAGATTGGAGGCCATCATGCTTCCTGTACTTCTGAAAGAGAAACGAGAAGGTTAAAATTTGCCGCATAGCACATTACATTATACTTAATTACTCATTTCCCATTTATCTCATTCCTGGGCTGGAAGATAAAGTACATCTGGCAGCAAGGCCTCTGATCGGGAGATGGGAGGTTTTGAGGAGTGTGGAATCACCTCACAATTGTTGTTATTCCTAGGACAACCCCAACCTGTGGTAGTAGCACCTGTTAGGGTCCCAGCTGTGGGCAAATAGTGAATCCCTAAACAAAAATAAACCCTATGAGAGTATATAAATACAGTTTTATAGTAAAAATACCAG